TGTTAGGGAATCATCTTCCTTTTTCTTTAAATAAACTTGTTTTGCTCTATAAATCTTCTTCTGATGAGTATTTCTGTGATTTAAATAAATAAATAAATAAACTGGTTTAAAGTGAACTAATTTGAACAGATTTGCAGTGCAGGCCTGAAAAGGTTCTCAGCAGTATTCTGATTACTGTCCTGGCATAAATTTGTATTTCTGTGGCATAAAGAAAAGAAAAACCCATTCAAGGGATCCACTAAGTTCCCTAAATGTTCCCTAGAATGTCAGCTTTTAAAGAAAAAAATTAGAGTTGTTTGTGAATATTGGTTTGCTTGTTAACAGGCGATGGAAAGTGGCTTTACATCACAGAGTAATGCAGTGGGTTGACGGGCGGACATTTGAGAAGTATGGCTACTGATGGTGCTGCTTGTTTTGCTGAAAGAAACCTCAGGACGATAATGTCTGCACCCCAAGGAGCTAAACACATGCACACTTTCAAAATAGAAAGGGACAGAAAATCCTCTCTTCACAGAGAAAATGCATAACAGACAATTCATCTCATTCAAAACTGGAAGTGAAGTTGATCAGATTATGACTTTGAATACATGCACAAGTAACATGTGCAGTCATAATCTTGTATCTTCTAATGCATGTATTCAAAGTAGCGCTGAGTCAGTACAAATGTTGTAGTGCCGTTTCATTCACACTGCTCCAGGAGTGGATCTGAATGTGCTTTACAAAAAGTTTATTACCTGTAAGAAATGCATCGAACTCTTGAATCAAAGCTAAACCATCAACAGCTGTGAAGGACCCAACACACCGTGTTCCCGCTTTGTTTTGCTTTTATTGCACAGTTATATTTTTCTCCTGGCTCAACAGCAGCAACTTTCCAGTCAGCTGTTTTTTTAAGATGGTTTTTAACAGTGTGGCTCAACTACAGCCAGTTTGAAGGCCTGTGGTAGCTGATTGTTAGAGATAGGTTGATCAATGTTACTGTGACTGAAGTTAACTTAAAAAGATCAGTTGGAGAAAAAGACTCTAATATCCAGTCAGCTGTGCACTCTCTGGTCTCCAACATCACTGAAAAAGAGAAATCCTCATCAGCACCATCACATCGACCCTCCAACCTCCCTGGCACCGCCCCTCTGTGCACCTGAGCCTGATGAACATCAGTAGCACTGAAAGTAGCTGTAGCTAATGTTACCTCTGTGAGGTGATCATTTTTGATTTTTTGAATGGTTAAAAATGTTATTTGTGAAGAAGTTCATGAAGTCATCACTAGTTAACGTTAAAGGGATGGTTGGCTCGACAGAGCTCTGACTGTTTGTCAGCCTGGCTACAGTGCTGAAGAGAAACCTGAGGTTGTTCTTATTTTCTTCAATCAGTGACGAATAGTAAGCTGTTCTGGCTTTGTGGAGGGCTTTCTTATAAAACAGGAAACCATTTTTCCAGGCTAAATGATGATCCTCTAAATTTGTGACACGCCATTTCCTCTCCAGCTTACGAATTATCTGTTTTAACGTGCACATTCGAGAGTTAAACCAGGGAGTCAAGTATTGGTATGGTAATACCATAACACCAGTAATGGTATTCATAACCTAGGATTCTGTTTTGATAACAGAGTTTCTCTACTTATCTATTTTAA